GTCGTACTGTAGGATGGTAGCAAATCGAAATTCAAAGGACCGGAGGACGACTCCGGAGGTGATGTAAAATGTGTGATTGGTTATGTTTTCTGATGCGATTTTGACATCACGGTTGCTGTTGGGAGGGACCTTTGTTCATGAGCTGCTGGACAGTTCGCGATTGGACGCAATAGCTTCTGGGCAACGCTCCTCTTGTCTATGACCAGGAAAGATTGCTGAAATTGGTTTAGTGATTTTTTTTTTTCAACTTAAATTATTTGCTCCGAATACTCCTGATATGTTGCCTAGTATCCTGATCTCCAATGCGCCATCTGTTTCTTTCATGATTATGACGCTCGAACGCTGCAATAAAAAAAAGGTGAATGGCTTCTCCCCTGCCCATGCAGCACCTGCCAAGAGGGAGGGGCAGTGAAATATCTTTAGGGGCCGCTTGGCATGGTATAAGAGGCGATGAGAGACTTGAATGGTCATGACAGTCCCAAAGAATGAGAACCCTCAGTTGAGACCTTTGTCGACGACCACGACGACGCATAAGAAACAGAGTCGCATCCAAACTCCCTCTCCAATAAGAACGACCGGGCCTTTTCCTCCCTCTTAGCGTACAGCAATCCACAGACGTTGCAGAGGGTACGACGTCCCGAAGGTCCAGACCTCCATTTGGGCGTCTCGGTTACATGACAGAACTCGCATGACCTTGTATGATCCGACGCCTTGGGTGCTTTGTGCTCCCGCGCACAAGGACAGGAAATAGTAGCCTGCCGCGATGGTGATCGGCGCGTGGTGGAGTGGTGCTTATGCTTACTCCGCCAACCCTCGGTTCCGAGACTCTTGTACTTCCGCTTGGAGCCGCCACTGCTCTTCCGCGGCGGCTCTAACTCTGGCTCTGCGGTCTCAATACTACGCACATATTGGCATGGCATGATCCTAAAGCTTGGCTTGAAAGCAGCAGGCTTGTGATCCTTAGCGAGCGTGGACGGGATCGTCGCGGTCTGGAATAAGGGGACTTCGCAAAGCGGCCGGCCGAAACGCTCGGGATCGAATTGGAAATCCTGGATCACGTGAGTAAATACATTTTTGCGTTGACTCCCAATGTAAGTTACCCACGTCCTGCTTGGTTGCAAGAATAATAGTAGTTACGGGAATGAGGGGGTTTTGCAGAGAGCAGGACATTGTGTGGTTTTGTAATCGGTTCCACCGCCTTTCACGACCCCGAGGGGAGGCTTTGTTGGTGTTTCGATCTCGAGGGGAAGCCATTTTTGCAGGCATCGTGGATTTCTATATAATCTCCCCAGCGATCGGAAAACTGACGTTGATATGATGTAATCTTTAACCCACATCGTCCCGAGATCCCTGACGGAGCATTTACCTGAAATGGTATAGGAATGCGGGTTCCCCTGACTGCTTATTCGGAGCGAGCTGGCTTTAACGGTTTAGTGTTTTGTGACAGCTGTTTCTTGTCTTTCTTGGTGTCGTATGGTGGGATTCCTGTATCAATCTTATCACAATCCTGTGACATTTTGAAGGAATTTGGAAATGTCCCTTAAGTTATCCCCATGGAGAACTTTGACACTATTTGGGGGTTTAATGTGTTATGATGTGCATTCGCGTGGGACGAGAATAGTGCATTTTGCGGTGGAGCGAGGGGTTCAAAATTGTCCCCATCCAGCTGCCTTCATGCAGGTTCCACGCGCACGGTCAGCAATGAACGGTGCAGAAATAGAAGCAGTCTTATGACTCAGAATTCCTTCAAATTCCGGTTATCCTTATTTTTATTTTTATTGCCTTTATTTTTTGACATTTCTTTGTTTTTGAGCATCGAAAAGCGACGAGTGTTGTTGAAACTTGAAGAGCGGGGATCCAGAAGTCAAACTCTGTTGCCTGGTGTCTGTGTGTCACACCCCGTGGAGCAAAAGCTCCGAGCCAAACAACTGCTTTCTTATCTTGGACTGTTTTCCGCAAACAAATGATTGGCTTATCATCAACCTGACCCGCATTTGATTCTACCCTGCAATGATCAATTTCACGATGAAGGAGAATTGATTTGAGCTGCTTAGGCAGAGAGTATTTTATCTTGGGCAATGCGTAACTATCCAAAGTAAATGTATGGTTTTCCAAATGCGACACGGAAAAGTAATCGTGGTCTAGAAAAAAGCAGGACCATGGAGCCAGCATAAACTCGAGAAACAGCAACTTGATCTAAGACGCAATCGGAGCGACCGACTCTTGGCCAAAATAGCATAAAAGTCATTAGTAGAGCCATATCTTCAGCGTGTTCTCAGTATGCTGAAGTAGCTAGTCATCCGGTGAGAAAAACGCAAGAAAACGCTCTGAGGCCCTCGTTCTTCTAAACGCAGTTGAGACGTCGGGCTCACGTTAGTTCCCCACGATGACCCTTTCCGTCCCATCGCATTTGATCGCGGATATGAGGTTTTGAGATGCTGCCTGAGAATCAAGTGACGGAACGTTCTGAGCTTACTCAAGGCCTTGGATCTTACTGGAAAGGGTTGCTAGAGTCCATACGACCTGAGCCGCCCCAGCAGAATTTGAGTTGTGATTTATTATACAATATTGTACAGCTTGAAACCAACTACAGCCTTACTCCTTAGCTTGGTTTATACTCGTTCGACCTTGTCCAAACATGGCGCCCTGTCTCATAATTCATAGAGGCGGGCCATGCGACGGATACTAAACAGGCATGCACTTCTTCCCAAGCTGCCAACCCAGTAACACTTTTCCAAGCATCCACGTATCCAGCGAAAGCTCTTTGGAGGCTTTCCAGTAAGGGGTCGTGGTTACTCGCTTGCTGTTTGGCAATGCTATACGCTCCCAAGAACGCTCGCCAAAGCCAAAAGTCCGTAGAGTCGTTCAGTCCCAGGGTGCTCACTGATTGACTGAGATCTCGATTCAAGATACACAGAAACCTTCGAAACAGACGAGCGTCGATAGCCTCGCCACCACTCCATAGTTCCAGGACGCTGTGCATATACAAGCTCGAGGCTGCGCACATACCAGACCAAGAGGTGCTATACTTCGAGGAATGTGCTGTTGAAAACATATCGTCGTGAAACAGAGATGAGAAATGGGAGCCGATAGTAGCGCAGAGTAATCGAGAATCTGATCCCTCGATCCATTCCCAGCTTGGGTCACATTTGTAACGGTCTTCCCTGACTGTCTGCGTTGCAGTCGTAACATGCTTCAGGCAATCTATCAGAGGTGAAGCGTCGATGTTATGAAACTGCGTTGACGAGGGAAGAGCTGCAAAGAAGAATGGCAAGAGTTTCATGGCGTTGAGACGCATCTCGAGATGACCGATATTTTGAGTTTTCCAGAGGTAAATCTGTGATACAAACGTGGAGAACTCCGCGGTGTTGTTCTGTCGGAAAAGGGTCTGCAAAGAGTCGCTTCCCAATATCCTGGCCTTGAAGCCTTGGTAGGCATAGTATGTGCTAAAAAAGTCAGTGTCTGGGAGGATTGAGTGCTCAACAATGACAGACTCACAGCAAAAGATAGCGATTGGCAAGTTCTTCTTCGAGTTCCGATCGGTTGCCGAAGTCATCGTCTAGAGGACTGAGAAGGTGAACGGCGTTTATGAGGCCGTTGATGTGAGCCTCTGTATCGTGTACGTTGCCATACGAGGCCTTTTTATGGTTAGTGATCGGTGAGGTATCACTAGTACCATAGTAGACATACCTCTATGAAGCAGAGAATTGAAACATGTCGAATGAAGGTCATGAGCCCTGGTTGATGTATGTTTTGCAGCCATCGGTTCAAGACTTGTATTGTCGAGACTTTGTGAAACAGGAAAGTTGGCTTGTAAGTTTCGAGATCGCCGACAGTCCATGCATAGTGCAGGCCTGCAACGAGAAGAGTGTCCCTTAACGCATCGGGATGCTGGGCGACAGAAGAAAAACTATAGAAGTTCAAGGTAAGCCAGGGCTGACTGAGGAGTAACAAGGTACGTACATGTTTCTGGAGGCTTTGCTAAGTACCAAATCGGCACTGTCGTGGCTGTTATGGACTTGAAATGTCAGCGGTGTTGCTGGTCTATGCTGCATGCCTTGGGCTTACAGTAGTGAAGTAGCTCTCTTGAGCGGAGAGTCATGTCCAAGCCCAAACAGTCGAAAGGCTCCACTGACTTTCCAAATGGGGAATTAACAATTAGAGTTACTGGCGGCACGTCCTGGCCTATAATCCAAGGTTGCTGTTCGCCAGGAAGACAGATAGCGTTACGGTCTCGAAGTGGGATACTAGGATCAGCAAACTCGCATATCCGTCCTGCACTGACGCATCTGGTACTACATTCGTCAGTTTCACAATCACCACAAACTGAAAAACATCCTGTAATACTTTCGACTATTTGTCGCAATTGGGCTGCAAACTCCGACTTACCAGGTTGGTTTTCCGCCATCACAACGCACGCGACGCTTTCGACACGTCAAACATCCGCTTTTACTCCTAGTGTGGGGCCTACGAGTCCTTGTCGTTGTACTCATGCTGACAGGCTTGAGCGTGTGTTCAGAAAGATCCAGGGAAGATGATCGGCGATGGGCTGATGAGATGTGACTTTCAGTGAATTGAGGGAGGAGTTTTGCTTCAAAGACAGGCGTTGACGAGGTATCGGGAAGCCACTCACGGGATTCAAGGATTGTAGGTAGCTACAGGATGAGCGATTTGGTTGGGATAGTCTAGACTGGTCAAAGCTAAAGCGCTAACATCTCATGACAGGCTTCGGGCGAATGCAAGATAGATCACTAACGCCTTGGCAATGAACTACAGTCTCCACTACCAACGACAGAGTCACTTTTGAGTGGACGTGAATGGCGTCCAGCCTGTCAGCAACTAACCCTTTTCGAGGAGAATAAACGAGCTGAACGACAAACCCCGCTGCCTTGATCCAGCCACGATTTGGAAAGAGATCGTAAGCCAACTGCACAATCTCACTCCCTTATTCCCCCTCCCTCACCGAATCACGAGTCAATATCGTCCAATCAGTCTACAACATGGCCCAGAAACCTAGCCTCATTTTTGTGCCTGGCGCGTGGCATAGTCCTGAATGTTGGGGCAAGATCATGTCCGCCATGGAGGCTAAGGAGTTCAAGTGTATTCCCGTCGCACTTCCGACAAACCAATCAACAAGCACCGACGTCAATTACTCGCATGACGTTAAAGCTGTCGCCGATGCCATCGCTGCAGAGGCGTCGCAAGGACTTGATGTCGTTATCTTAGTGCACTCCTATGCTGGACCCGTGGGACAAAGTGCCATGAGAGGCTTCACAAGCAAATCTGCCGATGCAGATGGAAATACTGGTCGCGTGATAGGGCTTTTCAATGTTGCGACCGGTTTCGTCCGCGAAGGGGCCTGCTTTCTGGACGCTCTCGGCGGCAAGCCCCTACCAACTTGCGAAGCCGACTATGAGAACAATTTAATGGTCATCAAAGTCGACCCGATCGACATGATGTACCACGATCTCCCGACAGAAGAGGCCGAGTACTGGGTTGGAAAGCTCAGCAAACACGCTTTGACCGGTTCGACGGAAGGTTACGAGGTGACCTACGAAGGATGGAGGGATGTACCTGTCTGGCAGGTCATGACCAAGGATGATAGGGCTTACCCTTACGAAGCGCAGAAGATGCTCGTCCGAGGCGCGGAAAAGGTTGGTGCGGATATCACGAAAAGGATTATTGATAGTGCGCATTTGCCGATGTTGAGTAAACCTGACGAGATTGTCGAGATTCTGGAGGATGCTATCCAGGCGTTCACTTCATGAGATAGACAGGGCAGGTCTGTCGACCATCTGCTTATATTTTCTTCTATTTCGATAGCACGTGGAGTTTTCTGTCCATAGCGACTTTGAGTGGGACGAAGACATGTTTCTCAGACTTTAGTATTGGTAGCGATGAAGAACATTAGCGGTACGCAATGAACTTATATCACTAATGAGGTCCTTTTGGATGTCTTTGAACTGGACTACTGGCCCCTGGCAACTAAAGAAGAGGTATTGAAGCTGGCTGAAGGAAGCTTTGGACCTTCACAGAGAGTTTTGCAGTTCAACTACCTGAGAACTGTAGCTGGTTAGGTAGGTCCCGAACTGCTAATGTTGCAGTAGACTGTGATCCATGAAATTTCAAGGAAGTTATCATGTCAGCCTTCGAGATTGTCGTGATAGGCCTAGCTCTTGCCAGAAGCTCCGTGACTCACGTCAACATAGGTACTTCAACACTCAAGAAGCATTAATTGATAAAGCTTATGATGTCTCAACGAGACATATCAAGCCAACACACTGAGAAATACCAATTAACTTCAGCTTTTGGAAGGCAATATGTGCATGTCAAGCTCAAGAACAACATTTGTGTTTTCTATTCGGGCGTAGCCTGTGGAGAATGGGAACTTGTGATGGGGTCGTATTCTTTTCTCCACTCACCGAGCCCAAGTATTCTTTACCCACGGATGCATTGATCAAGTGACAGGATTTCGTATTGGTGGCTCAAGACGATGCCACTGTTCGCGAATGAACAGGTCGCTGTGCAGGATCCTTCAAGCTACCCAACTATCATCCTGGGCGCAAACCCCAGAAATCGGACATTTGTGGGCAATGCATACTGCGTAAATCTTTAGAAGTATCTCTAGAATGGAAGAAATCCCCATGGATGCCGTCAGGCTATTGGCTCTGGCCACTTTGACTTTCAATGTAAATTATCTTGCCAGTAGCAACACCAAACAGATGAGGTTTTGTCAAGACCCTTCTTCCGCTGGAAACCTCTAACAAAAAAGCTAAAGTGCTGGGGAATTTCGCTCATAATGAGGAACTTTTTTCTTTTTTCTTCTTCTTTTTTTGTAAATGAAAAAAAAAAAAAAAAAAGCCGCACGTTGACTTCCTTTACTTATGCCAAGCCATCGAACTCTTTTATGAACTGAAATGTCCGTGACTTTGCTTGGTAGCTCTAGCAATTGGTGAGGCGTTATGGCATAATGGTTGAAGTTTGAGCCAACTGTTTTATCTTCTGTTGAGACTCGTGACTGGAGGCTTACATCGCAATAGAAAACCTTTTTTGTGACCAGTAGACAGAAAACGAGGCGTGATAAGAATTATGCTTCAGGGAACCAGTTCGACTGTGAGAGCTTAAACTCGCGGACGAACTTCCAACTTCATGATAAAAAAAACCGTCTATTCTCAACCTTGGATGTAACTCCGGCCTTTCATCTTATTGTTTTCTTTTCAGCGATGCAAGATCTTCCAGCCAGCGATCCCGAGTCGAAAGCCGAGTCCTCATCGGACTTATCCTCATTCTATCGATTTTCTCGTTTACCGGCAGAGCTCCAATTCATTATCTGGGAAGCCGCCTTTGACGCCACTTCAAGGTTTATCAATATTAGGGTCTACATGGCATTCGGCTACGATTATCGTTTTCCTCCCTCTTGGTCTAATATGTGCATGACTGGCGGACGTTTCAGCACTCAAGGACTTGAAACTGATACATTTAGGGAGTCGCACAGACTGAGCCTGGCTTGTTGCAATGCTCGCAGAGTCTATCTCTTGAGATACCCAAAGTTCATCATCATTGCACAACCAGAGGGGCCAGAAGCGGGCTATATAAGAATAAGATGCAATCCCGCACACGACATTTTGTGCATCGAGTCGATGCGCGGACTCAGCCATGACCACGGCAATAGGGGGTTTACTACTCCAGCCTCAATGCAGATGTCTCTACTACGACACCTCTTTTCTACCAGAGATACCCTTGCCTCATTTCACAACGTTGCCATTCGGCTTGTTAGAAACTGGGAGGAATATCGTGCATGGGCTCCCTCACCCCCCTTCCCAAGTCTCACTTTTCCATACGCAGCCTTGTTCGTCTTTTCTTTTTTCGAGTCGATCAGACACCTTTACTTCCTCGTTAAGCCGAAAAGTTCAGACACGGATGACACAGTGTTCTTCCTGGGTCTGCCTGTTCAGGGCTACATACCGGCGCCAGTTGAGTGTTTCCTGGATTATTACGACCTTATCCAGCGGGCCTCTGAGCTTGACAACCTCTGGTGCAAAAAACATCGGAGGTGGAGACCAAGGCCACTCCGCGAGATACAGTGCTATTATAGTCGTCAGTGGCTAGACAAAGAATAGCGCCGCAAAGATTGTTGTTTCCAGGGAAATATACAGCCCTGATGGATCCCTCCTCTCCTAAAAGGCTGAGCTCATGTCAACTTGCCAAGTGACAAGAAATTCTGGACGGGGTTTCAACCATCACTTGGAACGTTCTCAAGAGCAGCCCAATTTTCCGACACTAAAATACCCTACTTGACCAGAAACAGCCCTCCAAAGCGATACTTTACCCGACTCATATAATATACTTTTAGATATGGCTCTCGTCTTTATCTTATCATGTCTGATCCTTCGCGGCCTGCAATGGCGTATAGAGTGACCAATCACCGCATTTTACCCACGATGTCTAACCCCCACCTCCAACGCCAACAATGCGAAGTAAGCTCTAATTTCGTAATGTTAATAGTAAAGAAGTTGCAAAAAAAAAAAAAAAAAGGACAAATAGTCTCAATAGATGTAATTTCAAGAAGATCTCTTTCGACTGCTGTCTAGAGTTGTCGCCTCAGGCAGTACCAAATACTTGTTCATATAAAAGGCATCTCACTTGTCATTTCATCCCTTCATGAATCTGATCACACGATACACATTATCGCATATCAAAATTGGAAAGTTTCACTTTCAATCTCATAAATTATTATGACTTTATCTCAGAACGACTCTGACGTCAACCACGACGAACGCTTTAGACATGAAGTCTTGAAGGGTTTTGCAGAAGATCTTCAAGACTTAGCAAGTGACAAGGAGAAGCAAGATCTTCTCATATCTATCAAGAGTTTTGCTTTTCACTTCATCAAAGAGCCCCTCAACAGGCCAATGGCAGAATTCCCCACGGTACAGAAGAATCTTGACGTCTTGTGGAATATGTTCTTCAAAGCCAGCGCCGCTATAGACAGTGAAAGCTTGTTCCAAGATCGGCTCGTCCTTCTATTATTGTGGACAAGGCAGTTTGATCTTGTGTATAAAGAGCTTTACAATGGGCGGCATGTCGCAGGAAACTGGGAATCCTATGGTTTTGCACAGAGTTTACAGGTGTTCTGGGAAGAGCTGGTGAAAGAAGGTTCAGAGGCTGAGTTACGAAGCCTTGCTACTTTCTCTGCCAAGGTCTTGGCTGCTGGTATATGCGAAGAACAGATCTCCTCGACTGCGCTTTGGTATATGCGCGAGGCCCTTGAGACCAGCGACGACTGCACTGCCAAGTTTCTGCCTGGCGCAGCTGTATGGATGGAGATGTGTCCTCACGCGTTGCTCAAGGACTGCGTTCTGAAAGCAGACAAACAGCAGTCGTCACTGAATCTTGGCCCCCTTGCGCAGGACCAGCGCGTCGACAAGGCCGGATTCAGCATGGCACGGTGGCTGTTTTGGAGAAGTCGCTTCCAAAAGATTAGCCACCACCCCGATACTTCACTTGCGCAACTTGCTAAGAAGGGGTTCATGGCTATGATCCACTGCGGAAGGGATGTCGATTATGGTGTCCCAGGGGAAGATGCGTTTGCTGAAAGACTACAGGCCACTATGTGGGCTGAGCTCGTCAAGAGTGGAAAGGTAAGCCTGGATGGTGATGATGTCGATATCGACCCCGATTGGGTTGATGGAGAAAAAGAGTGAGCATTCATGAAACGCGTCAAGATAGTGTAGCAATACGCCGGCTGTAGGAACAATACGCTCGTTAATCATCCAAACTTGATACGTCAGCCGTAATTCATCAGAGTCCAGTCAACGGATCATCCGTATCATTCCCAATAGCAGACTCGATATCCTCGCTGCAAAATTCCTGCAGCGGTATAAACTTATCCCCCGGTGCACCAGCAAAGACCCCTCTGTACTCATCGAGATCAATTTTCGGGTACTGCCGTGCAGCAACCCAAAGTCTTCTGTCAATAGGTTCTGGGCTGATCGGATGTCCATTCTGAATCGCTCTGACAGCGGCTCGGAGAGGAGGTCGGACCAGAGGGTAGAACCATGCGCCGTGAAATGTGTCGACGAACCTGGCTTTGTCGCATGCGTTGTGATAGAACGCAAAGATCACTCGTGTACCGATGTTCGTGCCAAGTCTAAGACTACGAATACAATTTTGTGCTGAAATTGCTGGTCGGTCTTCTGTGGGAAGTGAATCATACACTCTGTGTAATGCCTGGTAGATGGCTGCAGGCATTTGAATCTTGTATGGGCGGGATCTTGGCTCATCTTCCAGCGTAGCATCCTTGATAGTGGCTGTCAAGTCATAATTGTCGTACGGAAGCTTATGGATAAATCTTTCCCGTCAGTCAACGGTAGTAAATTCGCGATTAAGGGACAGACCTGTAATTATGGCAATCTGTTTGCGTGAACGCATAGTCGGAATCCACGGCAACGTGATATTCAGTCACATCATCTTTGCCGCCTTTCGGTCTGGGTACATCCCTCCCAGCAATATCCTCAGGAAAGTCGCCCCCGTTCAAGTCTCGCATTCTCTGATATTCCTGACGAGCATACAAAGCCGCGATATAAAACTGATCAGAGTCTCGGAAGAGGAAGTTCTGATCCGAATCGTCTTGGATCAGTGATAACGCGGCGTCGATGAACTTGAGAAGGTCATCCAGTGGACCTATGACTGTGCCTGAGTTTAGAAACCGCGAGTCGCTATCCTGGAGATCTCCAGTATCCGTTTTGGGTCCCCATGTGAGCCGAGGCTGTACTGAGAATGGAACAAGCCAACACCTCGGATCCGTTTCGCTCTCGGGCCAGCATCCCTTATCCGTTCCCCATAGAAGAGTCTGCCTTACTCCAGTTCGATGAAGCTCCTTGACACTGATTCCCCGTTGGTCAGCAAGCCTCTGATCTGCTTCGGTCATGAGTGTAAAGTATCGCTGCATCATGACCTCCGCGGGTAGTTGAGCCAGCACATCGAATCCGTCAACAATAATAACAAGATCGTCAGAGGCTCCCCCCGCATTGTCCAGATAATTTTTAATGGCGCGCAATTTTGCAATATGTGCCTTTTGCGTATCTAAAAAGGTTTCTCCTCTGTAGCCTAGAATCGTCGGTATAGAGTATCGGTTGGCGAGTGCCGAAGTCACCATTGCGCATACTTGACGGTAGGCGACATTTGCGGGGACGAGGTAGTGAAGTCTGGAGATTCGTTGCGAGGAAGCTAGTAAGTGGGAGGGATTCGATGCATTATTGATGTCCTGTATGCAGAGGCCAGTTAGCTTTCCTGCGTTCATAGGAGACAAGTCATCATACCAGGTTCCTGCAGTTGAAGCTCAGAAATATGAGCACCATTGCAACAAGAAATGCGCGGCCCCGATTCTTATGATTCCGATGTCGTTGGAGATCCCTACCCGGAGCGAGCATCCGCACCCTTTCCGACCACTCAGCATGGGAATAAATTGATGGATTTAGGTTATTTAACTGAATAGCATCATCTTTCCTGGTAGGCCAGATTTAAATGTTGGAGATGGGCCAGGAAGCGGCCGATCTGCGGGCGATGAGATAGTCAATAACCAAGGGTCAGTTCGTGGCGTATGGTGACCAAGACAGTTACATTTCTCTACTCCAATCATGATACGCTGTATAAATGGATCAGTTGATATGTTCTCGCCCTTGATTTGGCACCGATGGAAATTCCGAGACAATGCCGCATCATTGGGGCGTCTAACAAGCGGGTGATAATGAGACTCTGCGCTATATGGCAGGTGCAGCATCCGCTACCGTAGACCGATCTCGCCTTACTCGAATTACTAGGTGAATGAAATGACTCTCCCATTTGGATCTCGTTTTGAAGATGCAACAGATCTTGGAACCGCTTTCCAACGGCTGGCAACCATGCCATCGAGAATCATACTGTGGATCCTCCCTTGACATGGCTTTCCCTCACCAATAGTGATCATGTCCTGAAGACACGACAATTAAACAAAAGTCATCTTCTTTTGTATGTTCCGCATCTTATGAAATTCCTGAGATGTCGCTAAGTTCAGACCGAGGATCGATTAGATTAGAACTCGTGGTGCAGTTTCGTTGGGAATAAGTCTCCGAGCAAGTCTAGGGGTTGCTATCCAAAAGACTGGAAAATACGTCCTGTTACGATTGTATGAGACTCTTGATTTATGCATTACGGGCAAGTTCCAACATTGAAGCATCACCAGGTTGCTGCCAGGCTCCTGTATCAGTTCACTAGGGTCCCCGTGATGTTGCACATTAGCAACCGGCTGTTTTCATCAAAGTATAACTCAAAGCGTCATTGGTCTAGGGGTTAGGATTCAACTCTTCCATTGAGAAAAGTTGAGGCTCGGATTCGAATTCCGGATGACGCACGCTTTTTTGGCAGTTTTTGTTCCTGAGTGGATTTTTGTAAAATGGGGTCATTAAGCGATATGGGGTCCTTATCCCCCTAAAATAATCCAAGGGATCGGGAATAAGTACAAATATTATCCACGGTAAACAACTAGTGGTATTCCAGAAGTTGGGCTGGTACAGCAACTTGGGCCAGCCCATGCGGCCTATTAGATAACGGGGATACCTTCTATGGTTCCTCTTCTACTGGCCTGCTCTAGGTCCACCTACTCATTTGATCTGCTCGTGATTCAGTAAGCGACATCTCATAATATGGGTGCCTAAGAGCCTCAGCAGTCGTCAGTCGTTTCTAGATATACACATTAGCACATCGTACCACCTAGCCCTCGCAGGATACTACTCGCCTTCGGGTCAAATCGTAGAAGCTGGTCAATAAGACTCAGAGCTTCATCAGATACAAGTCTTTCATTATCCGAATTGATGAAATCAGTCCAAGCTTGCTCATGATGTTGGCCCAGAGCTTCAAGTTCCTCATCATTTAACTCAAGGTCATACTCATTGATAAAGCGGAACAGTTTGTCTGTGCCAAGGACTTCAGCAATGCGTCTTAGTTGATCAAGAAGCGAAGACCCGTGGAAGAAGGGTTCCTTTCTGAAGATCATGGATGCGAGCATGGCCCCGAAGCACCACATGTCTATGCTGAAGTCGTATCGTTCGTAGCTGAGAAGAAGCTCTGGTGGCTTCCAGAGACCTACGCAGGTGTCCAAGTCTTCGTCGGGTCGGTAGAAGTCTGCTGAGCTCCAGCCTATCAGTCGGAGCTGCAATGCGTCAGTATGAGTCGGATTTGGTCATTACAAGTCGCACCTTTCTGTTTTCGTGGTCAATCACCACGTTGTGCGGTCTAACATCACGGTGCATGACGCCTTGGCTATGGGCGAAGTCCAAAGCTCTCAGAAGCTCGCGCGTGTAATAGCGAATGTCCAGGTCATTAAAACGAGGATACAGCGTTCGAAAATCTGTGTTGTCTACGTATTCGAGAACGATACCGATGTCGGACCCCTATGCCTCATGAGGTCAATCTTGGCTCAGGACTGGGGTTTGAAGTGTATGCGAACCTCCTCACCTTGGACGGCGTCAATAAACTTGATGATGTTTGGACCATTTCCGAGATATTGCAATATCTCGAGTTCGCGACGGATCCTAGCTCTGCTGTCTTGCTTGAATAGCTTCATAGCATAGATGCGACCGCTTGGATCACGACCTTCGAAGACGATTGCATGCCTCCCTCGTCCTATATCAATCGTGTTAGTGTTTATCAAGTGAGGGCTAGTCTGAGGATTAGAATTACCTAATCGCTTTGGGGGCGACATGTCATAGAACTGTCCTGCCAATTGTCAGCAACAAAGCTGCAGCCAACTGTACCCCAGACTCACCAGCCCCCGACTCCGGGCGGATTGGCGCCATCTTGACGGCATTCAGGCGTAGATCCGTTTTTTTCGTCCCTCAGAATCTTGGTTTCATGATCGCCGATGCTCGACATCCAGTGCAAGGATGAGCTGTTGATGAAGCAGAAAAACCCCGCATAGGGCTGACATCCATGGATGCTTATTCAGCCGAAATGCAGAAAAGGCTGGAGGGTTACACAGGAAGCCTTGATGTCTCATGGTAAAGATGTTTGTATCTGCAGTGACCGTTACATATTGGTGGAATATAAATAGCTCTATTAGGACCAGCGCCGTGGTGAATTGTGCTGGTAAGAACTTGTCTGAGGCTAAACAAAACTAAAAAGACACAGCGCATCAGAGCCTGGGGCCGTTCGATCCAAGTCAACGAAAGAAACAGAAACTAATTTAAGTGACAAAAAATAGACACATTCTTTCCACTCGCTTTTCTAGAAGACCCTCATCAATTTAAGCAAGAGTAATAGTAGTTGAAGAATTCTGCTGTCAGATGGTTTCTTATTCTGCCTACCCTGAAGCTTCACAGCTCGCCGGCAGTTGTTAGTACGACACTCTTGTTCGCCGAAGAGTCGCTCAAAATCACGGCAATTCTTCATTTTAGGTTTGTCGGGTTACGAAAGAGAAACCGCTCCTCGGAAGTCGCCGTGAACGAAAGCTGAAAGTTAGACTGTCAAGGCTGAATTTCTCATGTTACCAACGCCAGGGACTGGAGTTCATTTCTGGGGCAGACCCAGTCACTAAGAACTAAGCTTATCTGATATAGGAAAACGACCAGGTTCGCACAGATAAACCGTCGAAACTTGCGCCTCCAATCACTCACCACCAATTGAAGTCGGCATGTGACACGAATGTCCAAAAGCTGCAGTAGCATAAGGCGGAATTAAATGAGTCGCTCCACATGTGAGAGGCGCGAACGGCAAGTCTCTGCCGGTGAGAACTCGCGAAGCATTCTCAGTTAGGAGATGGCCGGATGATCTGGCGCGCGCTAAAGGGGCTGTAAGGGCCACGGGTGAAACTGCCTAACGCACGGCAAGGTGAAGTTGTTTGATGAGCTGAAAACTTAACATGCAGGGGTGTTGTTACTGCCCTGATCCTTTGTTATGCGTTATGGTATTAAGGCCTGGATGTCCTGAAACTGATCTGGGTGAAGGATGCAGTGACTGTGAAGTCGGGCATAACGCCTCCCGTCTTTGAACGGGACACAATGAGTTATTGATGCACATAGTCGTGCGGCTGAACACGAGCTACAGAGATGGAGGTCAGACCGATCGTGGCACTAAATGTTTGGTGTTTCGTGAGGGCATTCAGCCTTTTTACGAGGTGCGGGGCCAGGAAATAAGACATAGCCCAGACATTAACTACAATAGGAAGCCCCTTAATCCAGGCTAACAATACCGCCACAATCGTGACTCCTCGTCTTGCCTTGAGACAATCTTAAATACAAAGCCCTTGGAATCCTTCTGTTGGTTCTCGCATCCATCCCATCTGTTTTGAGTAGACTCTCGTTAATAGCCATCCGCTCCTTATTCTCTCCGCTTCAACAACCAACACCAACACCCTTTTAATAATACCCAATCATAATGCGCTCTGCCATCATCCTCACTGTCGGCGCGACCGTCGTCGCTGCCTCGCACCCTGCTCTCGAGCGCCTCGAGAAGCGCGATGCTAAGGAGTGCGCTTCCGTCGCCTCCAGCATCCTCCCCGACCTCACCGCCATCCCAACTCCCGACTCTACGCTCGCGAGCTTCCTCGCCAAGCAGACCGATCTCATGACTGTGACCGATCAATGTGTCATCCCCGCCGTCACTGGCTCCATGGCCAAGGAGTACACTTCCTACGCTTCCAAGCTCAGCTCTTGGTACATCGACCAGAAGGATGGCATTTCCTCTCTTCTCGAGGCCTGCAGCGACGTCCCTGAGGTCAGCTCTCGCATCGCCGACCTCAAGGAGACTGCCACCATTTGCGACAAGGTCACTTGGGCCAAGGAGACTGGCTCTTCTTCCAGCGGCGATGCTTCTCAGTCCAGCGACGCTGCTGCTTCTAGCTCCACCGCCGACAAGGGCAACGCTGCTGGCGTCAACTCCATCAAGGCTGTTGCCGTCCTCGCTGTCGCTGGTCTTGCTGGTGTCATGATGCTGTAAGAACCTTCATGCCTGTTGGGGGGAATAATAACGGACAATACCCGTGGGTGACGGCGTCTTGGCTTTTCGATTCGTTTGGCCTGGTGTACTGGTCTCTAGTTTTACTATAAAAATACTCAATACAAGCGTTGTGGCTACTGTAGCCTTTCTGTAATTGCCTGACTTTCTTGACCCCAGCGTGCTCAAATGTCATTGACATGCTTTTCGCCGGGCCGTTATTCCATTGATGCATAGCCGAGCGAAGACAGTCTCGGCAGCAGCCCCGATTGTTTGCATTCCCCAGTTCCATTGTTTGCAGATCCACGTGCGTCATCTTGGCAATTGACACCGAATGTCTGCCAAAATTTGGGGTAAAAATTGTTGTAGGGGCCGGGGGTCATTAGCCGCGATCAGACCTCAGCATGGCTGGTGCTGTCTGACCTGTAACTATGGCAATCAACCGGAATGTTTCAGGACGAGATCAGAGTCCAAGCAATATCACTCTCATTACGACCGAAGATAGTTAAGAATTATTTGGTTGGAGGTGATAATTAGTGCCGGTCCGGTCTCGGGGTTCGGTCCGGGCTTATTGGGTTTCTCAATGACAAGGCCTTCAGATGTGTCTTAAATTGTCAAATGGAAGCGCTAACAGGCTGCTTATTAAGTCGTCGCTCATTGCATCGCCAGCATACCAAATAATGGGGTCTGACTCTTGTTCTTTCGATATCTCAGAAGAGGCGGGGGATGATAGAGGTGTTGCGCTTGAGTAGTTCCGGGCAATGCTGGAAGTCTGATCTGCATGGCTGCTAGCGTATCGCGGACCGAAACAATATTCATCTTCAAGTTGTGAAACAGGGGTTAAAGGTGAAAGAATATCGTCCAAAGCAGGATACGGAGTCTCAAAGACTAGTTTTCAGCTGTTAGTAAGAATCCCGCAATGATGCCAGAGAACAGCGGCCCGTGATGAGCTTGACTCACATCTGAACTCTTCGTCCTTGATCTCGATATCCGACGACGACGGAGAATATGGATAGTCTACACTATCGCGCGTGGCCTCAATGGGGACTTCTTCCTTTTTGGGTTGTTTGGATGCTTTGTTGGATGCTTTGTTCTTGCAACTATGTTTGTCAGTGATACTAATACGGTTTGCGGACTCTGGAACTTCACTGACGGTGACTGACGAGGCCCTATCACTACACACTCGCACGAGCTCCATTGACAGTTACTGCAAGGCGACTTTTGCATCACATCGCATCGGACCTTTCGAGACCTGCACGTTAGGCAAGCTCTCCGAGCTCTGCGTTTCCGGCGCCCATTTGTGCTCCGGGTATACTGCTGCACTTCTGTTGATGCTGGAATATCTGACATGGCGACAGAAAACAGTTTCTCAAGACTTTACAAGGTCAAAGCAATCGGTTATAACATGCATAAGTCTTACTGCGATATCTCACATATAAAGAAACTCAAAGTTTGGCTGATCTGCGAGAGGTGGCGGGTATCGGACCGCAACACGGCATTACACAACCGTGTATAGCCGCGCCGCCCGCATTCCCGCAAACACGCACCTCAAGCCCCGTCCCTTAACCCATCCTGAATCTCCCTTATCGAATCAGCAAAACCCTCCAGCCCATAATGTCAGACTCCCACGACGACTCAGACGGGCCTGAGAGCCGTCGCAAGAGAATTCGCCAAGCCTGCCTCAATTGCAGGAAGAAGAAAGTTCGCTGCACGGGTGAGAAACCGATATGTCAGTTTTGTAATCGCCTTGGACAGCCTTGTGTTTATGCGGAGGATGGGAGGAGTCTTAGAAGGACGACGAATTTGGCTGTTCAGCCTGCTTTGGGGGACGTGCCTGAGGCTATCATGGTATGTGGTCCACTGTTGTTGGGGTGGTGATACTGACCGGTTAGGATAACATCTCGTCAAGGTTTGCTTCTTTAGAGGATCAGATATCAACGCTGCAAGCTACAGTCGAAAGGTCAGAGCGATTACGTCTTACACAAGTTGGTGATCCCATTCTGATCAGACCATAGACTGCTGCCGCTGGTCACAAATCAGCAACCACCGAACAAACGTACTCACTACCAAGCCAACACCCCAGCCCCCGTTCTTCTTCAAACCCCCTCCACCATACAATCTCACACCAGCGAACGCCCTCAACCAAGCTCCCTTCTCTTTGCTGCCGATGTCTACTTCCGCTACTGTCACAGCCAACCTTACTCCCTCTTTCACGAACCAACCTTTCGGCAAAAATTAGCAGATGACACATTGCCAACCTATCTTCTCTGGGGATTCTTGTCAGCGGCAAGGCGATACTCATCTCTACCAGTCACTCAAGTCAACTGTTCCGACGATGCATCTAGTTACGCTGCCAAGGCCTGGGAGACTATGGAACTTCCTTGGACTGGTAATGCGCCCCCTGAAAAGATCTTGACAGTCATCCAAACCATCATATTAATAGTAAGCACTGAGGTTCCAGGTGAGTCAATTCATCATGAACGACGTTGTTCATATCCTGAAAAGCTATTAACAAACTGGATCGTCTAGCCGGTCTCTGTACCCAAGCCCATATGAAGCAGGGTTTTGCTATCCGTCTTGCCCAGAATAATAAGTTCCACCTGGAACCCGATCCATCACTACCTCTAGCGGAGCGTGAGGAGCGAAAACGAACCTTCTGGTCACTGTATCTTCAAGACAAACTCATCAGTCTTTCTCGTGGACGATTCTCCGCCATCCGGGACGAGGAGTGCAAGGTCACTTTGCCATGCTCAGAAGATGCATTCAAGGAGGGGCGTGAAGAAAAGACACCCTTTCTCGACGAGCTGACCGGTGATTGCGTGGAACAAGAGGCTATTGACGGGTGCTGCTCGCTTGGTCTCATCAATGTAATGGCATCTATTCTTGGGCGTGTCTCGCATTACGTGTTACACGATACCCAAACATCTCATACGGGACTTCCTTGGTCCTCAACAGCGCCTTACGCCACTCTATCATCGGCATTGCTCCAAGCAGAACACTACTTTGGAATGAATGAAGACCCGACAGAAAGCCTCAAGCAACGATGCACGGTTGATGGTGTCGTTGATCAACTACTCGCCAGCTCCTTCATATTCGCCAAGGCCATGTTCCATCTATCTCACTGTTTACTTCACCACCCATTCCTGATTCAACAACGGCTTCAGTCTGGTAAACAAAAGGCACCGTCAGTGTTCATGAAGACGGCCTGGGAAAAGTGTAGGACTCATGCGAAGAGTATCACGGGGTTACTAGATATGAAAAGCCAGAACGTGCCTATACTAACTTCTATTTATGGATACTGTATCATGGTTGCTGGAACAATCCATGCTTTGTCTTTGAATGACGAGAGGGACCATATTCGGGAGGAGAGCCAGAAGCATTACCGCGCTGCTATGGAATCACTACAAGACCTGTCATGCTACTGGAACCATGCTGCTTTAATGGTAAGCCCGTCCTCTTGATGCAAATCGGAATTATGACCCTAATCCTCACAGGTAAAACGACTGGAGAGATTCCACAGCCAGTGCGAGACTCGCGGACCAGAGCTCTCCCCATCAAACGTCGAACGAACCCCTGGAGACGTCAAAGCTCTATGGCAAAGCGTCGACTACACATCCTTGTCAACTCCAACGAGACCTGGAAGCCCGACACTGGCAGGTCAAACCTCGGTTGAAGCCGATTGGGCTTTATCGACCGACATGTTTGACTTTAGTGGCTTTGGTGGATTTGCAGAAGGTGTTGATGTCTTTAGTATCTCGTTTGTTGATGGCGACATGACTCTCGGTGACGAAATTCCGAACATGGTGCAAAATTGGGCAGCTCCCGAAAAGGCAGATTGATATCGACTTGGAAGATCGGGTACAAAAAAGTAAGTCGTGAATTTTCTATAAATAGGCACCTGTTCCTCCTGCAACATTATGTCTTGATCTTGAGCATGACACGCCGATAATCAATCACTACCAAACACAATGCCGTTCTTTCTCCTCATATCCTCCATCACTGTGAGAACGCTTCGACTGAGTGCCCTCAAGTCAGCTTCAGCTTCACGATCACTGTCTTTAATGATACGCCCAAGCTCCTTGGCCTCCCAAGTCAAGTTCAACATATCTGTATACTCAGGGCTAGTATCTCCCAACTCCTCAGACTCTTGAGATCCTCTTGGGATGAACTCTAGAGTGCAGATGTCTGTAACATTGGAAGCCTGACCACCAAAGATCTTGATGGTTCCCTTCTCACAGTAGATCTCAGTTGGTGCATGCGAGTCATAAATCTTGCTTGTGCGGGCCGATAGTGTAAAGCTCTGCTGGTGCTTTGAAGACTCGGGCGTGTATTGGAACACGATGAGACCACCGCCATCGACACCTGTTTCGAGAATGACAGGGAAATATGTCTGAGATGAGGGTTTGCCAAAGAGTCGGACAGCGAAAGTGACAGGATAGCAACCCATATCCCATAGACAGCCTCCACTGAACTTAGGGGATGCAACATTTGGAACGTTGCCTTCTGTGATGTCTCCGAACAATGGGGAATACACTGCCATCGAGAGGCTTGCGCCATAAACCTTCCCAAACTTCTCCATCCTAATCTTCTCATCATCAAGTAGCCTCTGGAGTGTTTTGAAGTTGGGCTCTTGAATATGACGATAAGCCTCTAAAATGAAGAGACCTTTTGAATCGGCGAGCTTGTAAAGAGCTTCGAGCTCTTTCATGTTGGAGGCGAAGGGCTTTTCCATGATGACGTGTTTGCCAGCATTCAGAGCTTTGATACCCTGCTCATAATGCAGCGAGTTGGGTGACGCGATGTACACGACATCGATATTGGAACCTTTGGACAGCATGGTGTCCAGGTCATCGTAAGCTTCCACTCCAGAAGCATCTTTGATTGAGGGAGTTTCAGAGATGAAATTATTTGCTGTATCGAGCTTTCTTGAATACACAGCAGTGAGGGTAAACAGTTTGCTCTCATGGCATGATTGCACAAAAGAGTTGGTGATCCAGTTCGTCCCCACGACAGCGAGACCAAGTGGAGCAGACATGGCGAACGAGTTGATGCTGGACGCTGATGAAAAAGGAAAATATTCTTTACAGGAAAGCTGAGTGTGGTAGCGAAACGATGACTCTCTTATAGCTGCAAGTACGTGACATCATGGCGATGACGGTGAGAAGTCCGTAACCTGAAAATTGACATTTGGGAGACCATTTGGTGGCACAGCATTTGGAGTGTTACCTCAATCTGGCAATTGTCGGCGAGTCTAAGGGAATAAGGGCGGAAGAGTGCATTAGTGGATTACGTGAGGTGAATCTGTCGCCCATCTACTTTTCCCGTCCCTGCAGAACATCAACAAGACGAGATATCGCATGGGCGTAATAAAAGGTGATGCCGAGTGAGCCGTTTGCATAACAATTCGGTATCTATCAGAACCATGTAGAAATTGCCGAGACGCAGCTGATTGGCTGGTGTATCGAACCCTCATAATGCCGTGACCGGGGTCGTATAAGAGCCCGAGATACCGAGTTTATCACGTCACGGAAATACCGACACCTCGAGATTTCCAACTCTTACAATACTTCTACGTACAATCTGATATACCCACTCACCGAGATTATTAAAGTGTTGAAGAATAGTAGTCGGTAATCATGAATGGCGGATCGGATTTCCAGCAGCTTCAAGACTCGCCTTATCATTCCGATGCCTCCGCGCCAGCGCCCAAAACGCCTCGGGTCTTGGCGTGCAACCACTGTCAGCACCGCAAGGTGAAATGCAATCGAGTCTTTCCTTGCAACAACTGCATAAAGGTATGCTCTCAAGATCCAGAATATGAATTTGGAACTAAAAGGTTCAGGCCAATGTACCATGCGTGCCATCAACGCCAGCTCCAGCTCGCAAGAGAAGAGCGCCAAATGCGCTACTGCAAGAGAGGATCAAGAACCTCGAGGCGCTGCTGGAGCAGTACACTTCCCAAGACTCGCCAAAGCAAAGTTCTGACGCAAATGGACTGACGCCCCATGATCCGATGGAAATATCTGCCAGGTCTTCACCGGCTCAATCTAACGGACACGGCGCTCAGACACCAACTGGTCCTGGCAAGTTGGTCGTTCGGAATGGCGGGTACAAATTCCTGGACAGCTACATCTGGGGCAGAATACACGAGAATGTCCGATATCCCTTTCCGATATGCAGTTCATGAGCCTCTTTGCTAACCGCCAGTGCATAGATCTCAGAAATGCGTCATATTCTTGATGAGGACACGTCAGATGAGGAGACCTGCCATCCAATCGACTCACCCGCCCCCCACGAAGACGATGATCTTCTTTTAGCCAGGACTTCGGCCTTGAGTATCAATGATCAAGCTCCGCTGCCTTTCCAGATCCTTCGCCTATGGCAGGTGTTTCTCGAGAGAGTCAATCCTATAACCAAAATGATCCATACTCCAACTACAGAACATTTGGTAATTGGTGCAATGACAAACCACTCTGATATATCGCACAAGAACCGAGCGCTTTTATATGCTATTTATCTGGTTTCTGCCGTCACCCTGACGGGAGAGGAAGCGATGACGATGCTGGGCTTGCATAAAGATAAAGCGTTGCAGATATTCACACAAGGCTTGAAGATGGCGCTGAACAAGGTCAATTTTCTGAGGAACTATGATATGGTCGTTCTTCAAGCTCTGGTTTTATACTTGGTAAGGATACAGCCACTGACCAAGATGCACTGTATAGCTAATCATTTTGCAGATCGCTTTACTAGGCCGCAGCAATCACGACGCCGTATGGGTTCTCAGCGGCGTCGTTATTCGCATAGCTCACAAGATGGGCGTGCACCGGGATGGAGAAGCACTTGGCCTGACACCTTTCGACACAGAGATGCGTCGTCGAGTATGGTGGCGAATCATCATCCTGGACTGCATGTACGCCGCAACATCTGGAATGAACCCAACGCTTCTACCGCTGGGTTGCGACACCAAGCTTCCCCACAACATCAACGACTCGGACTTTTCCCCAGAGTCCAAGGTGATACAGAACAAGCAGGGTACCACAGAAATGGCCTTTGCTCTCCTTCTCTATGAGATCGTTCACTTCGTCAAAGATCATCAGATGTCCGATTTCGAACACCTTCTGCTGGGAGGTCAAGACGTGGAGCCTGGAACGCCTGAATATGATCTCTATCACGAATCATTGGACAAGCTGAAACTTCTAGCTGATGAATTCGACAAAAAGATGAGCGAGGCCGAGGAGAAGTACTGTGATCCGGCAGGAGGTCCGCTTCATGTCTTCGCACTGGCGTTCAGGCCTCATATCTTGCGAGAAGTCAGAACGATGGCGACGCCGATGGAAAAAACACCAGAATGGGGGACTGAAGTCAAGAATTCTCACGATAACTTCTTTCGGATCTGGCTTGCGCACAATGAGAATGAGCAGGCGCTTCATGATCTCGTAGCAAACGGTCCTTTTGCGTACTCATCAAAGTCGCACTTTCACTTCGATTCGCTCATCTTTCTCGCGGGTCAACTCGTTCATCGCTCACCTGTTGGTTCTTTCACAGAGCGAACATGGAGTCTTTTCGATAGGTTTTATCGTCATCATGAAGAGCTCTGGAATCTATCCCAGCATAAGAACTTTCAGCTAGCGAGATTATTGCTGAAAGCTTGGGAACCACGACAAAGGGCGCTGGAGCAACTTGGAACTCCTTTTGAGGTTCCTGAATGTGTGCAGAAGCTTCGGATTGCTGTCTCGCAGGCTGGACTGTCATGGATGAGCCCTAGAGAGATGCCCTTTCAGCCCACGAACGGTGGTGGCCTAGGAGGGATGGATCAGATGCAGATGGGCACAAACGGGAGTGCTTCGACGGACATGTTTCAAAGCCCGACTATGACTAGTGACTGGTCCATGGCTGGTAATCTTCCAACCATGGACAGTATGGACGCGCAGACGCCGCAGACGCCAGTTCTTCCGTTCTTCGGCTTCTTCAACAGTACTACATGGTAGGATCACGTTTCAACGGGTAATGTGCGCAGGACGAGGGTTTTTTGGGAGTTCTGATTCCATAATGGTTAATGTATCTATTCTGTATCACGCAAGTTAAACATCCTCATCACTTCAGCCGTCAATCAAATTTACAAAATCTTGAGGAAGAGGCTTCTCTTCAACCCAAGCTTTGATACCTTCGGCAAACAATTCTGGAAATTGCAAATTCCATGCATGGATAGCCCCCTTAATAAGAACCGCGGTACTCTTCTTTCCATCCAGGCGTCCTTCATTGCGAAAAGTCAGAGCCATTTCCTTCGCTCCATCAAAATCATCACCTTGATCTCCAGCAGCTGCCAATATCCGCTTGTCCTTCTCAGCGACTGATTTCACATCTTCATGCTGCCACTTGGCAAGCCCGGCGTAAGCGTCTTTGACCAAGTTCCAGTCATTATTGACGGCGATCTCGTTCTTGAGCTGGGTGTGATCCTTGAGACCCTTCATCCAGACGCTGAGAGTATAAAAGCCGCTATTTAAAACGAGTTTAAGACCATAATGAAGAAGGCTGGGTCTTTCTGCTGCCCAGACTTGCCACGGTCGGAATGGGGTTGAGCCAGTGACGAATGCTGATTTGACGAGGTCTGGATGTCGGCGAATTAATTCCATCGTGGTGAAGCCTCCCAGCGAAAGGCCAACAACGTGCGCTTTTCCACCGTGGGCATGTTTTCGGATGAGATGTGCGACAGAGTCTGCGGCGAGTTCAATTGACCAGTGCCCTATTTCTCGCGATTGAGAGTGTTTTGGAAGATCTGGGACGATGAGATGATAATCGCTGAGGTGGGGAATAACGTGCTCCCATTCGAGGTTGCAGCTGAAGAGGCCATGGAGCAGGACGATTGTCGTTGGCGACGTGTCATTGTACGACTTGAAGAAGAGGTCTTGTGGGGGTTTAGATGCTTGCGACATAGTTACAGAGCTTGACTCGAAGTAGTAATTTATCTGCAGAATGTTGTTCAGTCAGACCACGGTGGTTGCGCGGAAGGACTTCAGTCTTGGGCTGAGCTGCGCCGTTGAATTGAGTCGGCTAAGATTTATCCGAGCGGCTTCGCGCTTGTTCTGCCCTGGGCAAGCTTGCCTGGGCATAGGTCAAAACGACCCCAAGCGAGAATGTATCTGCAGGTACGGATAATAAAAGGCGATAAGCTGTTTGAATCTAATTATAACTGCGGGAGGATAAGAAATACAGGGATTAAGCGATAATGATCGTGCTGGACATGGACACTCTGGCCTCATCACTGCCAACAGCATGTCATCTAATATCTGGAAGGATTCATGGAGGGTCGCTTGCGCGTCTTCGCGTTTACCAACGTTCAGCTAATTAAAATTGCCCGATTGATCTTCGCATGTCCCCAAAAATGGGTTTCGTTCTTTGCTTGACTTGTTTTTCTTTGCAATGAGATTGCTCACAAAGTCTTTTTGGCAATGCAGCGTCGTACAAGTCGCAGCCAAGAACCGAGCTACGAAATGGCTACAGAGCCTAAACCCACTAAAACAACGCTGCAGAACAAAGGATCGACGCCAATTCTCCACAATGCGGCGGCCTCCTCCCCTGAAGCAGATCCGGAGGAAAACAATGGCGATAAAGAATATCTGACGGGTTGGAAGCTTCATTCTTTGAGCGCAGCGTGAGTCAATTACGAAAACTGCTACTTCTTCAGCTTCAAACTTACCGTACTAGGCTCTGGATCAGTCTCTTCTTATCAACACTCGAGACGACCATCGTTAGTACATCGTTGGTCTCCATCACCAATGCCCTCAATGGCTTCATCCTTCGTGATTGGATCATCACATCATATTTGTTGACATACACGGGTGCGCAAATCGCCTCTTCCTCACGGATAATATTTTACTGACGGCTGCAGGCTTTCTGACAATTTATGCCAAACTTAGCGATGTTTTCGGGAAGAAGACGATGCTTTTGCTTGCGCTGCTCATCTTCACCTTGTTTTCTGGTCTTTGTGGTGCTGCAAACAACGTCGTTGACCTGTAAGCAACACTCACATCCAATATGATGCCTCACTAACAGCCTCCAGAATCATTCTTCGAGCGTTTCAAGGTATTGGCGCATCAGGCATCTATGCCATGATTCTCGCAATCGCTCCAAGCTTGGTGCCAATCACTAAATATGCAAAGTACATGGGCGTCATGTCGACAGTCTTCGTCACCGCAAGCGTTCTGGGCCCCATCCTAGGCGGTGTTATCAGCCAGCACTCAACCTGGCGCTGGGTTTTTCTTCTCAAGTACGACTCTGCCTATATGCTCTATCGTGACATGCTGACACAAGATCATAGTCTTCCTGGAGGAGCCATAGCATTTGTCATGGTTTGCTTTTTCCTGCCAGCTTCCGAAGAGTCGTCCAACCTCTCACTTCTGAAAGTGCTGCGCGCAAAGGTCCGTCGTTCGAACTGGATCCGCATCGACGTACTTGGAATAATCCTTCTCCTTGCAGCCTCTGTTCTCCTTGTGTTCGCACTCGAGGAGGGAGGCACTCGATACTCATGGAGTAACGCGATTGTCATAGCCACACTGGTCCTGGCAGTTGCAGTCTTCATCGCTTTTGGGTTCTGGGAAGTGCACGTCGAAAAGTCGCCAAACAAGCAAGAGCCTGTATTCCCGCCGAGTATTTGCAAGGATAGGATCTCAAGCGCCATGCTACTGTAAGCCATGCACCCTTCGACCTCTCCCCAGGCACTAACTGGCCACACAGAACTACCTGTTTCGTCGGCTTCCCTTTCGTCTCAATGGTCGTCAATATTCCGCAAAGAGCGCAGGCAGTTTATGGCATGTCACCGTCTCGCGCTGGCATCATCCTACTACCTATGATGCTGACTTCTCCTGCCGCAACTGTCCTCTCCGGTTACTTGACTGGGAATGCCAGGGTACCGCCCGCATATCTGATAATCTTCGCTGCGGTGCTACAAGTTTTGGGCGTCGGCTTGACATGCTCACTGTCTACAGATGCAACCGACATGCCAGATGCTCAGTACGGATATGAGGTGTTGATGGGAGTTGGATTTGGTATGGGTCTGGCTACCGTCTTAACCTTTGCTAGGGTGGTGGTTTCTGAAGCAAATCTGCGTAGGTAACCTTTCACCGGTGAGATTTGGGAGTGCTAACTAACTGTATGAAGCTGTGATGATGGGCGCATTGACTCAGATCCGTGTTCTCGGTGGAACAGTCTCACTCGCAATCTGGTAATTTTCACACGTCACGTTCCTGCCAAACATGAATTACTGACAGGTCTGTAGCGCTACCCTACTCAACAACCACATAAAACCCAAGTTGAACGATCTGGTCTCTTCGGGGGAGGCAGCGGCTATTCTTGACTTCGTATCTGCGATAAATGATCTAGATCGGTCCCAACAGCTAGCCGTGAGAAAAGCATTTGCTGAGGGCTATAATCTGCAGAATATTTTCATGACAGCTATGTCTGCTGCTGGTTTGATGGCTTCTTTATTCTTGTTGGAGAGACATCCACGTATAGCAAAGTAGACTGCCTGAAGCTTCCATCTCTCGCAGCGGGATTCTTTCTGGGCATGCAGTAGAAAAATGTTTAACTGATGGGCTGTAATCAGCGAACGTTTACTTTTGGTCACGAGGATACGTGAGTGTTAGGTTAATATACAGAAGTACAAAGTACTAATATATTATTGCTTGTTAAAGCTCCCTTGGCAACGCTGTAAGAGCCTTGAAGACGAGATGCATACTGGGTAAGACTTACCCTTTCGCTGAGAGGCAGGCTGGAACGCTACAAACTCTGTGGCCAGCTGAGTAGATTAGCACCAGCAATGGATAAGCTTACTGCGAGAAAGAATATCCGCCATCAGTCGTGTGGGTGGGGGTGCTCAAATGTGCAAGTGGAACAGTGCCTAAGGAGGGCGTACCGTGTGCCTCTGCACCACGCAATCCAGAGCCTTGGCAATTGTATGTATTACAGTAATCAGATTTATCTCATAAATGCATATTTGAATATGCAAATGTTAGGCATCCAGCTAAATTCGCCTGTCAGCATAAAGTGTGTCTGCCCCGCCTTGCGCGTTCTTTATCTCCCAAGTCCTTATTGACTGTTTCCACCAGAGTCGCAAAATGACAGTCATCGAGCCTGACCTCTTCGAATTCTGGAGCTTTCCCATAAACCTATTTTTAGGTTTTGTGATAGCATTCTATGTTGTTAGGCATGATGGTGGATTGACTCCGGTAAAGCTCCTGTTCATGTGTTGTTGATTGGCGTCTGTTTTATGGCAATCTAATGTGTTTACTAGGGTATGATAAAAAGACTGCAAGAGGAGTCAGATAGATGCCAAGAAGTGAAGATTGAAGGCAGGAGATCTGGAGAGAAAATAACTATAACGCGAAGTGACGCAACCACCGGCGCCAACGTGATTCAACAAGTCTCAGAGGCATGTCAGCCATCTCATGGTAGTTGCCGTGAAGGAAGCAAGCAAGATCAAATGGACATTTCTCCGGGAGAGGCAAAACAGAGCCATAAAGGAATTGAGCATGAGGTACCAAGAGCTGAGCCAGAGCCAGGTTATTTAGATCTGCGCCAGGAATCCAGGACCCAAACCCCATACGACACCACTTCGCCAAACACAGGTTTCGTCTCATCCTCCATCTTAACTGCTACAGCAGGAGCTATGAAAATAGCGTCGAATGTTCAAGTGAAAGTCAATTCATCTGTCGAAATCTCAAATGCAACTGCAGCTTGGATATTCGGAGCAATGGCGGCTATTACAAATGGAGTGACAGCTTTTGCGACGCGACAAACGGCCAAAGCAAGCAAAAGAAGCGCTATAGCGGGTGAGGTGGCAGCCAATGCAAGTAAAAGAAGTGCCAAAGCAGCAGAGGAAACCTGTTTGATTGCTCAGAAGCATTTTGAGGCGACCGTCAAAGACAACCAGGACCCGCCGTCTTCGCCAGATACATCCCAGAGTAATTCCGGCGCCGGGGCAGAAACTTCAAGCAGAAAACAACAAAAGCCAGACACAGGATCTACACCAGTAGTTCATAGTGGCACTGAGATGGCGACTTCGCCGTTATATGTCCTACCAGCCGTACTACCATCAAGACTGCCTCAGAACACCCCTGGCCGAGGACGCCTGCTAAGAACCACGTCAAACTCGAGGCTTGAAAGACGAGAAGAATTTGATACATCATTAGATCTATCGACTGCAACAGAGGAAGCGAAAATAGTCTGGCCGGAAGTTCCAACTTGTGAGTTTGGAAAGCCATGCAACTGTAACATTATTCCCAAGTATTGAGAAACACGAACTGTACTTTACTATAATCCTATTCTAAATCTGATGCATGCAGGTTGACTTCACCCGTATCTAATAACATTCTTTTCCTCTCCCTATCGCCCTGATTCTCCTGTTTTCGCATTTCTGGTACTCCATCAACCCATTTCACCCAAGACCTCCACCAGCGCGCGCGAAGTCTTATAGAATGCCTCCTCCACAACTTGATTCGAGAACCAACCCCGTGGCATCGCGAAGCATCAACTCTCTTGTCACAGCCAACAAAGATTCTCTGAAGCATGATCTTCATCAAACTTCCTGGCTCAGACTTAGAGTCAATGCTTTCAACCTTCCTTTTCACTTCCTCCTGCCAGCGGGCATACCATTCCGCCCTTCCAGATTCGCTTTTCGGCTTGGGGAACTTTTCTTTATCAAGGCCGTACATCTTCTCAAGCATAATAATGCCCGTAGACCATACGTCAGACCTATCATCCGCTACTTCCGCTTCCTCGTCGAAGATTTCTGGTGCTTTGTAGCATGCGGTTCCATAGAAGTAGTCAGACTGTTCTGTGTATTTACCCGCGATACCGAAGTCTGCCAGGACAATCTGGAAGCTTTTCGGTGTCCGCTTCCTGATTAAAATATTCCCTGGTTTTATATCCCGATGCAATATGTCAAAATCCTTCAGCTGCATGAGTCCCACAAGGATTTGTCTGAAGGCGGTAATAGACTCTTTCTCAGTGAGGGTGCAGCCAGCTAAGCTTCCGAGAGGATATATCGGCATAAGTATCACCGGAGACCCAAACCCATCCTTGACTATACCCAGCACTTCGACGATAAACCGCTGTGCAAATTGTCAGAACAAACCTTGCAAGATATGATAGGCAACGTACACAATCCCTTGACATGTAAGCGAACTCTTTCTTCACCCTCTCCATGGTGTTCTGACCGTTGGGATCACTTTTCGATGGCATGATCGCCTTTCCGGCGAAGGTTCGCCCGCTGGCATATTGGATGTATTTGTAGACTTTCCCATACCCGCCTTCACCAAGAATTTCACATTGATGATAACGTTGTGGCTCGAGCAATGGGTATCTACTCCCAACACCAGATCCCACTGGGGGGAACCAGGACGCACTTTGGACTAGATTCCGAAGCTATAGAGGACTAGGGGGGCTCTGATGATGGTTCTGAAACATAATCCGAAAAGAAAGTGGCCCTATACCTATCGTCACATTCTTCCATGGCGCAATGGAACCTGGCCGGAATGCAAGAATAGAGCTACCACAGAAATCTTCTGATTTGTTTTGGGCATCGAAGCTAACAGAGATCATAGGCTGATCATAGCATTCGATGCTACTCGAACAGCGAGATAAAATAATGTAAGGCGTATGCTCGCGATAAACGGTTAGTTCCAGGGCTTCAGCTTCGCCTAGAAGATCTTTCCCCAAGTAGACAGTAGATGTTGGATCACTCCCAATCGTCCAGCGAGGCCTCTTGTATTCAGGCTGCCTGACTTTGTCAGGAAATCCAGATTTACATCGAGGATGATGAAAACGGATCCGGAGACGTTCATAGTCGTCCCAATTCATCCCAATGTCCCAGGTTTGGCAGTCACTGAGCGGGGTACTTGGTTCGTAATGAAATGACGCATTTTCGCGGAGTCGAAAGGCTCTTGTTGCGTTTGCTTCTAGTGGGAAGAGAAGGGCAAGAATATCGGGGTCCATTGCTATCTGCAAAGATTGCCTGATGCGTCTCAAATGCCGGGGCAAGAAGACTCATGTGTAGGTATGAGAATTCAAGGAATTCACAAGAGAACCGGCATAAGAAATTCATGTGAAGGGAGCTGGAACGGGAGAAGAGATAAGACCTGTTGCGACTGGCCTGGAGAAGGATTAGAACGCATGAAATTACAAACATTGTGACACCTTACGGATATCATGAGGGACGTCTATTGGTTGCAAATGGTGGGATGAAACAAAGTCGTAGGGCATAATCCAATGGTTTAAGCCACATAAGTTGACACGCATGAAAGGGCTTTTCAGCCGCACAGAATACGTAACAAGAAGAAGCAAAATGCCTCTACTGCTGATGGATCACATTGTTACTGGTAACAAATATTAGATCTTGTAGGTCTCTTTTCCATAACCAGTGTTGAATTCTCAGAATAGCTATTTCGTGCATACATGGCCAACGGCTTAAAGGACGTCACTTGTCTTTCGGCTTCCTAGGTCGTCTCTCCGAAGTATCTAGTTCTTGCTGGGTAGTTGTTTCTGTCTCAGGTTGTTGATTTGTTGCCTGACCCGTGTTGTCAGATGACTTGACCGCTGATCCTGATTGCGGTATTGCGACCTTCTCTTTTTCCATATTCATCATGAACTATGACTGTTAGTGCATCATGGTGACCTTGACACTTGACAGTATTACTAACCAGCAAGAGGTAGATAAACTTAATGTTGTAGGGGAGTGAGGTTTCTAAGCTGGCTCTTGAGATGATGTATGGAGGTTTGTATCAAGGACATGATTAAGTTAAGGGATGAAGCTTTATATAGACTCCTAACTGAAGGAAAGCTTAGACGAGGTGGAATATCTGAGCCTCAAATAGCCCCTCTCTCATGCAGGACATTCCGAATCCAGTCATCAAGGAATCAACATATGTAGCACAAACCACCACGTGCTGCGAGCCCATTGGCCGCAAAATTAGTGGCGTCCCACAGCCCTCAAGGGGGCACACAAGGTCAGATTCTTGGACTGCTTTGGCCTCCCCTATTCCGATCTCATAGCTGAGCTGTCTTTTGCCCATATTGGTAGGCTTGACCAAGAATATTGATCGGTTGACTAATGCTGATGCCATAGTTCTATTACTGTAGCCAAACCTTTTGATGGGGCTCTCAAGAGTGGAACTTGGGGCTTCTTCGTTGTCCAAGGATTCTAGAGGTAGTTCATCGAGAAGCTCTCGGAATGAATCATCGACATTGTGACCAAGAAGACCAAGAGAGCACGTCCGGCGAAAAGATTCACCCGAAAGTCGATTCGGCAGGGCTAATGTCGATAGCTTCTTGAAAACCGGCGGGAGTTGGTGGTATAAGCTCAGGTATTCGAGGTTCGCAATTCCGGCCTTGTCTCCCATCCGCTCGGCGTCGACATTGATCAACGGGTCTATCAACCCTACTACTTTGCCGAAGCAAATCCCCGAAGCAAGTAGTATTTCCTTTCCAGAACTGTTTTCAAAGCTGACTCGAGCTACTGTAGTGCCCATGGCTCGTTGTTCGTCATAAGAGATTGGGCGATCCGCTATGATAGGCGTTTTGTACATCTCCCAATTCGGAACCCAAGATGGCAGGTCCCACGAACCGGTTCTATCTGCCGCACTGACACAAGAAAGAACATCGAGAGAAGAGGTGGTCTCAATAATGGCTTTGACTGAGTCTGTGTAGACTCTAGAGATCGATCTCGTATAATCGATTTTGAGTCGTTCGGAACGACTATCTTTCATGTCGGAGGCTGCCAAGATAGAAAACACTTTGTCCCTTGGATCTGTGCATAGCCTCGACCAGCTATGTCTCAAGAGGCTAAGCAAAGGCCAAGAACCCTGAGTCCTGGGGGTTCTTAAAGCTGACGTTTCCCAATTCGGGAAACTTATGGCCAACTCTGAAAGTGACGTTTCGGAGGCAGAGAGAATGCCGCGACAGACCGATACAGACAGGAAAGAATTAAGACTTATCAGTGCTCGAAGACTTCGTGCTTGATACTTCTTCTTCATGACAGTTTTTATCCTGGGATCCTGAAGTATTTCCATCACTGCTTCAATGCCCCCCTCTGAAACGCAAAGATCACCCGACTGCAATTTCCAAACTCGGGCCAAGCTGACCTCTTGGATAATCCAAGCTCTTTGCCGATATGTTGGGCGGTACTTTCAATCGCCGATGATAAGTTGAAGAGAATAGAGACCATCTTCAAATACTTCTTCAAGGTCCTCTTTGCTTGGGCTGTCCAACAGGAGTGCGAACAGTTCGTCTGTCGAGCATGACCTGACCAATTCGATCAATGCCCTGGCCTTCTTCATTTGTTCAACGTAGTCGATGGGATCATCCTCGAGCCCAAGCCATGAAATTACACACGAGGCAGAGGAATAGATCCGGCCCATCAGACGAACTTGCGAACTGCGCTCATCGACATCGGATTGATTGATGCAGATCGCGTCGATCCAGAGGGGACGTGGCTTTGAGTCATGTCTTAGATACGTCAGGGCGTCTTTCAGATTTTGGGTGACTTGTAGCGTGGTGTTATTCACTGCTATCGTTGCCTGATCTCCAGAGCTTCCCCAAGCGTAGGAAAGGGCTTCGTAGTCGATACTATCTCCCAGAAGGTTGAGAGTTTCCAGCTTGCAACTAATCATAATGCCATGGCTTTTTGGCTGCAGTATGCAAATCCTGATGTCAGAATGCTTCTCGTTAGAAGTAAGAGGATAATAAAGACTCATTATACCGATAATGAAAGCTAGGTCTTGGGGACGGAAAGTGTGATGCAATCGTTGAGCTCTAAAACCCTGACGAGATTTATATTTCAGAATCCTGCGGTAAGGCAGTTGCACTATTGACGCTTTGTTGGGCTGTGAAATAGCCTAAGACACCGTTTTGTGGAGGCTGAGTGTTGAAATTCATGCCCAAGGCAGACTAACTGGCTTGACCTTGTGCAGCCACTGAGTGAGCGGGATGGAAAGTCTGGAACAGTACAGAGGGTTTATAAGGAAGAAGACTTTATATCCTTTACAGGAATATTAGTATATCGAATTGCTGTATTGTTTTGATATACTATTTTAAACTACCTGGTGCATGGAAAAGGGATCCTCGGAGTCGCTGGACAAACTATGTCTTTGTTCGTCATTTCCTTGTATCACTACGCGGTGCGTTTCTGAGCCATGTCCTGGATGCGGTCGACTTCGCTTTTGGTCGACATCGGTACGCACTACAATTGTTGATTGTAGGGGACGTAACTGATCCTTACTCTCAGATGAATGGAGCGTCCTGGGCAGATCATGCATTTCATGGCTCCGAGAGGTACCTGTTTGGCGAGCCGTGGCACCGGTCCTCGAGTTTTCATGTCGTGAATACGATGACTGGTTATGGCTAGAGCCGCGGTCATGGCCTGATAACAGAGGCCGGAGAGTTGGAACGCAAGCGCAGATGATACCGCAGCACAACTCGCTGACTGACCAAGATGCTGATTCGACATTATGCCATGTGATATCCGTGCCAATATTAAGGAACTTGATACGAACGAGTGAGATAAGACACGTGCTGTTTCCTATTAGTTCCAGAAACGAGCGCAGAAAGAAAAAGGAAACTCACAATATTCCGAGGCAAAAGACGGACATAAGAATCCACTTTTGGCGCCGACCGAGCTTCAGACTGCGAAGAACAGGAATCGGGAGGACCATGATCAGGATATCAGTCAAGATATTACCCGCCGCGCCGACATAGAACGAAGATTTGTTGAGAATACAGGTGCCCTTGATCGTGACATCCCAAAAAGATGCGATGGGCCAGCACATAAAAGTATTGAGAAAGATCTGGGAAAGACTCCAGCAGGTGACGAGGACGACGGATGCGATGTATGTCTTCTTATACTGGCGTACAGGTATCGCTCGGTAGTACTGGAGGAGAAAGACAGTCTTGATGACTGCTAGGGCAACGTTGTAGACGACGGTTGAGAAGTAGAACATCTGGTCTGTCTTAGCTAAATTGTCGATTGAGTTCCTGCAGAGCCTACCCTTAGGAAATTGCTGATCTGTTCGCCAGAAAGTGTAGATATATGAGAGCCAAGGCCATTTCTAACGTCTATAGTATGTTAGTAAACTGTTTACGAAAAAGTTCCTTGACGGGGTGTCTTTACTTGTTGCAATAATGCAAGCGTCAGCGATCGTCAATAACTGTTTCTCATTAGCAAGAAGATCTCCCAATATTGATCGAGACACCCACGCAAGCAAGGATCGCGCATGCGTCATCGACGCCAAAGTTTCTCAGCATGATGGCCCTGGCGTAAACTCGCAGGGATACCACGATCAGAGAGATCGACGACAGGGTCGCCATGACAGCGATGGCGACCGCACCCCTGGACTCGGAGGCATAATCTGAAGCAGCCATGGCCATAGACGTCTTCTATGAAGGAGTGACGACAAGGAGAAAACAAGACACTCACCAAGCTGTAGAGCAGCGGCTTGGCAGACATTTAAGTCAGTAGAAGACGCAACCGATGCGAGAAAGTGGCTAAGGACTAAAAAGTCGAGAAGCGAGCCCAGATCAGACCATCGAATTGTGGGCTGCTTACTTGACGCCATTTCGTCCCAAGTTATGAACGATCGGAACATGCTACCGTTAACAAGAGCGATCGGTTAGCCGGAAACAGCCATGTGGCTTTGGGTGAAGAGTGATAAAGTTCGTTAGCCAGGGAGCAAGTGGCTGTTGGGCTTACAAGCGGCGAATCAAGCTGGAGAGCGGATTCGTCTCACAATTTCAATTATGGGCCGGTTCCGAGTTAATGGATTCCGAGTCACCGAGTCAGTTATGAACGATAGAGCGCACAGACGCTAGCTCGGGGAAGAAATCCGCGGGTTTGAGGCCTGCGGAATTAGTGTGAAACGCCAGATGGCTGTTTCTTACCCCAAAAGAGCTGTTATAACCTACTGCTAGCTATTGGGCGCTGTGAATCAAAGAACGGGGAGGGAGACAAGGTTCAATAGTTCAGGAGAATCGCCGTGTACTGAGCGACTTATAATGCAAGGGACATCCACAACTTCGCCATTGCTGCTTGTCTCAATGGCTCCAGGGACCAGTTGCATTATCTTTGGGCGGTATGCTTTGAGAGGAGTTCGATTGAATGTGACCCCGGAACCCTTCTTGGCGTGATGAAACAACCTGAGAACAGTTTAAAGTGACTGTGACTAGCCTTGAAAGCCGGTGAAATTATTGCACTCTGCACTGTAAGATCATAGTTCAACACATTATTAATGTTCAATGCCAATTGAGTCCAGAGCCTCTGTAGAACCTTGAGTAAGCTCTAAAGTTCACAACTGATAGGCCAATAAATGAACAACATCATTTCCCCTTTCAGGCACTTTCCATGACCTCTAAAGGAGTTGTGACTTTCAAGTCTGGAAACTTGTCGTCTAACGGTGGAAGATCTCGAGGCACAAGATACCTGCCAATGCCAGCTTGATAATGGATCATGGCGAAGAATGCCTCATCACCTTCACCGTGACCAATCGAAGGATAATCTGGAAAGAATGAAATTTTACCAGACTTCAACTTCTCCAGACTATCAACAGCAACATCAAATTTAATACCTAGTTGTAGTTTTAGTAAGCAGTGGCTGGTAGCAATGGACATACTATTACCTCTGGCCTTTTCCGCCGCCGACACCAGTTCGTTGAATGACAAGGTGTTGGCCCGAATGGCACTGATGGTATCCCACTTTTCAAGATCCATCAGGCGTGCGACAAACCGGGACATATCCTGAGATGTGAGGAAGCTGGCTTGGATATTTCCATCAGCTGGAATGACTGCCCATTTGCTTTTCATGTTGATGATATTGATCCACGGCTCGAGATTACACTTCCAGTGCGGCATGCCGTAGTAGTCGAGAAACCAGCCGTTGGCAATGCGAGTGTACGTCAGGTTAGTCTTTTCAAGCTCATCGATAGCCTCAAAGGTGTATCTGGTCAATGGCGAGAGTTCAATATCTCTATACCGATGGTCAGTCATGCTTGAGGAGTCCAGGGCTTACTTACTCTTTGACATGCAGCATATCAAAACTACTAATAACGAAGCGCTCAGTAGTTGAAGACCGTTCAGCGGCTCGGATCAGATTCTTCTGTGCCTGGTTTGCGTCTGGTGATACGACGCTGATAGCGCAAATGAGAATGTTGACCCCTACAGCCTCTAGGGCTTTCGTGATAGCATCGGGATCATTATAATCCACTTTGAGGTAGTTCACAGCGCCTTGAGGCGGTCGTTCCTATTGCTAATCAATATCAGGCCACAAAGTCAACCCATCGCAAAAGAATTGCTTACCTTCCTAGACAGAGCATACACCTTGTGTTTCCCATACTCTACGAGACCATCAACGATGGTGCTACCCACGCTTCCAGTACCGCCGGCGACTGCAACAACTTTCATGATAATATGTCAATCGATACAGTAGAAACCCGGGCAATTTTATAATCCAAAGTGATGATTTTGTAGGCAAGGAGATCCAACTAAAAACTCTTTTTGTGTAGGAAACCAGCTGGTTTTCAACATGATAAGCCTGCATTTATAGAGGAGTAAAGTAAGCAGGGTTTGACAATTGACAGATACGGAAGTTTTGCCAACCGTGAGGTCGCAGCATGGCGGGGCGTACTGCCCATTACGGTAGTAACTTCAACCTCGCCACCTCAGACCTAACGACTGCTGACCGCCACCAAACGTAGTATCCCCATCATAACATAACATCGTCACTCGGGAGGAAAGGAAACTCAGAACCTTGATCGTAAAGGTCAAGAAAAACTTGAAAGATATTTGATGGGAAAAGGTTCAATTTATGGCTTTTCGACTATCATAAACCCGATAATGATAACTCCATGCGCCGATCCGTCAGAAGCTGTTCATCACAACTGACTTCGCTCATAAACAACAGGCTCATCAACCTCAACCACCTCCTTCATATTCTCCCATAGCTTCACTGATTCAAAAACAGTCTCGCTTGCTCCATTTCCTTCAACAAACCAACTCAAGCCCGTGCAGTCTCTACCATCCGCATAAACCATAGTCGATAAAGCGAATCGATCGTTGGCAAAAACCTCGAGAACATCGCCGTCGCAGAAGATTCTCAAGTGTAGCTTCTCCAATTCCTCTGAGCCGTTTCTGTCAGAGTAGAAAAGGGTGAAAGGCCCGGAAACAGCGTCCTTTTCGATATCGGCTTCGTGGTTGGATTTGCTTCGGTCGACGGTGATTTTCTCGTTTTGGGGGGAGAAATGAATGGCTGCTCCTTCAGACAAGTCTTCATTGTGTCGAATCCATAATCCAAGGCCTTGGTCGTTTGGTGAGACCTTGATTGTGGCTTCCAACTCCCAACTTCCGGTTTGTGTGTCAACAAGCTTTCCAAGCTTGGCATTGCAGTTGATGTTACTCCAGTAGCCAGGCTTTCCCCTTCGAAGTCCTTGCAGGTCTGGCAGTGGCCGAATTCCCAATGTCTGAACTGCGTTTGATCCTCGCCCATTCTCAGTGGCCTTAATGCAACCAATATCGGCCAGCGATGAAGTTAGGGTCCTCGTTACATTTTCGACGGTGTATAAGAACAGCTCGCGAGGGATAGAGAAGTATCCGGTCCAACCCTTGGATTCGCGTCGAGCCAAGGTAAGCTCGTCCTCCTTCAACCATCCCCAAACGATCCTGTTCTTTGTGATAGGATGCTCGTAGGAATTAGGTGCATATAGACATCCATGGTCGAGAATTCCGCTGTACTCGGGCTTTATCCGGGGGCCTTGTTCGGTCTGCTCAAGAGATCCAGCCATCCAAAGCGACCACTGATCACTGCCCTCCTTAGCACCAGGCTTAACTCCACCTTCGGTTCCCATAAGCAAGAAAGGTCGCTCCTCGGACTCGTTGTGAAGAGTCATAAAGTTAACGCACTCCCAGTTGACACCGAAGTCGCCGCCCCATCTTCCAGAGGGGCTGTATCCTGTGGGTAAATCGATCAAAGGGCCGAGATATGTCCACTGTGTCAAGTCGGTTGGTGAGATCGCGTAGATAAACACTGTAGGTCCGCCGTCGACAATTCCTCCCGAAACAAAGCCATACAAGCTTGCCTCGCCTCTCATTTCATCCAAAGCAGGCCATTCTGCAAGATATGGGTCCCTGAACCCTGTGACGGTGAGATCCTCCGGTTCACCCTCCAAGATTGGGTTTTGTTCACTCTTTTGCCATGTCTTACCACCGTCTGTCGATGTCGCCACTGACAATCCAGCGCAGTTTCGGGTATACGGTAAAGTCCAGTGAATGGGAAGATTTGTGATGGATGAGTAAATAACAGTGAGTTGGCCTTCTTCTCCTTGCAGACCAGTAGGGTGAAGACAGCCAGTGAAGATGCCCTTGTCATCGTAAGGCTCAGAAGGTTCTAAGACTGGATTTTGTGTGTTTTGCTTCCAGGTAAGACCGTCTCTGCTTGTGTAATGACCCCAAGTGATGTCACCCCAATCGCAGGATTTGGGGTTCCCTGGTGGCAAAGTCAGCATATACTGTAAAAGTTGGCCGAGAGGGATTGAATGGGTGTACTGACATTGATAAGATAGGTGGTATGTGCCTGTTGAGGGGTCATATCCGGGTGCGCACGGATCATTGATCCAACCCCGAGGTGCTTTGAGGTGGTATGTCGGCGAAGGATGCCATCGAGGGCGGGGTGTAGTGTTCTTGACCGTCATTGTGCTTCTTTTGGGAGTGCCCAAGTACGTTTTCGCCTCCGTCGTCACTTTATGCTTCTCGAATGCAGTCATTAAACGTCGAAGGAATGTCGAAAGATATAAAAATAAATGGAAGAAAAATGAGGCAACGACAAATGGTCGAGCCCGGGTTTTGCCTAATAAGTAGGTAATTCAGCCGACCTCTCTAGACCCCAGATTACGCCCCTAACCGATTCGGTTTGCCGATGTCGTCGGACCGACAAGACTGCAGCTGCAGCTAATCAGCCGACGAGAAGGGATTTTTGTGTGGGGAACACTCGTAGATCGTCAATGGGGCCAAGAGAAAAGGCGTGTCTATCTAGAGTTGACGCTAGAATTATCCGTTGCAATGCAACGAATGCAATGCAATCTTGACGGACCGAGATCAGATCCGAGGTTTGAGCGTTCCCCGCGCCTCCCGTCATGATTAACTAACTTCCATTGCTATCTACTACTCATTTGGGAAGTACCCGATTATTTCCCCTTACAGAGAGAGCAACAGATTGTCATGTCAGCTGCTTCACTGCAGATGCGATGCCACTGCAGGGTGACAATGTCTTGGCTAATTATTTCGCCTGCAGTTGTGATTCGGCCGCGACTGAAGCCACGGTGAGCAAGATATGCAAATTGATTACACCCGTGTCCCGTTATATACCCATAGTTTACCCA